GTTGTTCATAAAATGAAGAACACGATGAACGTGTCCAGAGAAAACAAAGAAAGGGGCTTTGATTCATTTTGAGGGGGTGAAAAATGAATTTTGTTTCTGATTTTTGGGATTTATAGCCAACCCAAAAACCCGACCGGATCCCCTAAGGATCCACGTGTTTTCACACGGGTAGGGGCTAATTGTAAAATTGATCCCTAATTTATTTTTAAAACCTATTTTGTGCCTTAAATTTGATTTTTGGTTCCGATTTTTCTTTTAAATTCACCCTCACTGTATTTTATTTTTCAATTTGATCCTTTTTATTTATTTATTTCATGTTTTATTTAATTTAAAAGACTACCACGCTTTATGAGTCGTTAACCCGATAATAATCATTCTTTTATTTTATTTTTTTATTTTTATTTTTATTTTAGTAATTTTTTTTATTTATATTTTGCTATTGACATTTTTTATTTTTTATTTAATCAACTTTTTCTTTACATTATTTTTCTTTACTTTGCATTTTCAATTTGTATGATTTGTTTAAAGTATTATAATTTAACTTTTGTTTTTTTTCTTCTAATCAATTTAGTACTTCATTTTTAACATCTTTTTTTTACTTTTTGGGTACTCTTAAATCAATTAAAGGTGAGTAATTTGGATCAAATTTTTACTTTTTAATTTAATTTACAATTTTTTTAATTAAGACAATTGGAAATTAAATTAGTATAGAAAGGGCAGTATAAGGGTGCTAATCCTTCCTTAACTGTAACCGGCTCCCGAATCCTACATATTTATGGTAAAACGCATATCAAGTAAGATGATGTCCGATCAACCTAAATATTTTTTTAAAATGATCGGTGGCGGCTCTAACCCATTTATTTAAGTTGAAGCCCAATTTTGGGCCCACCTGAAAGACAACTGCGACACTTACAAAAGAGGATAATGCCTTAATCTAAATCGAATAAAAATATATTTGCCACTTAAATACATACATATAAAGGTGTGTACAAAATAAATATGTTAAGAAATGAATTAAATCAAATATATACAGTACACATAGTATTATAATACCAAAAAAAACAATATGTAGTTCATAGAAACATTATATACATATATTCACGCATAGTTAATAAAATACGGCCATATATGATGCTTATTAGTTATTAACGTAGAGAAACATGGGACAAATTAAAATGAAACATAAAAAAAATGACAAATGTAATAGAATAAACATGGAAAACAAGGACTAAAATTAAAGAAATCTAAAAAACGAGCTTTAATAGAATAATAATGAAAAAGGCTAAATATACATGCCTTTGGGAGCAAAATGAATAAATTATAAACTAACAACCCAAAATCAAATATTTAAACATGAATGCATTAATGCATAAACATGACGAAAATAAAATGACAAAACAAATAAGAAGCTCGAAATATAAAGACAAAAACCTCATTCGATGGTTGAAATGGGAATATTAAAAAAACCTCCAAGCCTAAAAACGTGAATCCCCTACCCAAAATTGTGCAGCGACCATGGATTTTTTTTTTTTAATAAAAGTTACAAGATTATCGAACCAAATTTCATTTTCAACGCCGCACCCTTATTAATTTTTTGTTTTCCTCTCTTCTTCTTTAGAGAAAAAGGGGAGAAAATAGTCCCTACAACCACTGTTCATCGATTCCGATGACGAGGTAACACTCCAAAGCTCCCCTCTTTGAAACCACTACCCCTAAAGTAACCTCTTTAGAAGCAAAAACAATAAGAATAAACCCCTTTTCATGCCATGGAACAAACCCTTCGAAACCCAAAAAAAGAGCCCCAAGCCTAAATCCAAATGGTAAGGAGTTACCTTGGGTGATGTGAAGGTCTCCTTGACTCTGGTGAAGCGAACAATGGCGTTCCTTCGACGGAAATGATAAATTTGCTCTTTGAGTTTTGGTTGATGTATGTTCTCTTTTTTCTCAATATTTTCTTCGAATAGTTGCTCCCCTGTTACTTTGTTTCTTCTCTGTTTCTTTTTGCTTCTTCAAATCCCTCTTATATTGTGTTTTCATCATATCATATCATTTCCATTCGCAAGGTAAAAACACCGGCAACAAATGACTAATTCTGCAGCTCTGACATACAATGCGGACGAAGAGATTTACATCTCTAGTATAATTTCTTATTCATAAATAATCATATATGATATGATTATGCGTACAAAAATTCAAATACAACAGTGTAAGAGAAAGAACAAATATGCCCTCGCCTGCAAAAACAAGACAGAATCTTCGTACTCTGTAAACTTTTATGGTTCGGTATGTATAATCCATGAATCCTGAGTCTGCAAAATAAAAATCATCGTTTCTACTTGAGTCCAGGATGCTCTTGCTCTTTGATTCTCCATAAATCACCATCAATAGTGAAATCGAATGCATCCTTTGTGTTTACAAATTTTAAATTTTAGTCTAATTAAATTTTTATTCCGATTCAAATATCCAAGTATTCACTTTGAAAATTTGAACATCCGAAAAATTAAATATCTAATTTTTAGATTAAATATGGATTACAATTTTAATAATCAAAATTTTAAACGTTAATATTTGATATCCAAAAATACATGCTCCTACTAGACAAGTGGGCCACATAGTAGACAAGCTAACAAGACTGAGATCCTACGATGATCCTAGGCCACATATCGATAGTTGTCGTCCTTATTCTCATATTATAAAAGGAATCCAACCTTACTTGAGGCGCAAGAAATCAAGCACTAGAAAATCTTTCCCTATGCTCTATAAGTTATCCAATCACCATCACTTTCATTCATCTATTTGAAAGCTCTTTGCCCACATCTACGGGGATAAACCATCTTAATCTATCGTCTCCATCTAATCCATTAATAGTGTTAAGAATTTTTAAGTAGCAAAATAGATTATGCACAATCCACATAAAATAAGACAATAATATTTGGTGTGATTTATCATTATCTATCTCTATGAATGAGAAAAATAATAATTTAGTATAAATATAGATGTTACGATTAGTATAAATTTGGAATATCTCATACATAAAATATTCTATATATATATATATATATCAAAATCCGATTTATCATAAAATATTCTTTCAATATCCATACAAAACTTATTTTTAAAACGTAAATCCCAAGAGTTACAGAGATTACAAAATGATTACATCTCTAAAAAATAATTGTTGCATTTAATTTTTAATGGTTACCAACCATACTTATAAAATCAAATATTTGGTCACCAATAAATCTAATTTCTTAAAACTTATTACTTACAATAAATATTACATATTAAATAAACTCAATTATCAGATAATCTTCAACTGAATACAACAAAATCGAACTTAATTATCAATTAGAATTCGAGTCATTATCTAACAATTTTTCTCGACATAAATTTTATACAAGTATTAGTTTCAAAGTCTTCAACAACGTGAATTTTTACGTAAGTCAAAATTCGTTAAATAACACCGTCAAATCTTCAACCACTTCATTTTTTACTTATATTTATTAGAGCACAACTATATCAATTGACAATTACTCTTTCTATAACTGAAAATTCGTTGCAGTAAAAATCTTTTTTTGCATGTCTTCAAAATTCCTAACAAATGATTAGATCACCTACAAGTAGTCATCATTTCTTTTCCTCGTATTAATAGCTGTCACGTGGCATTAAGATCAATAGCAGCAAAAGAAGTATAAAAGGAAGTCAACCCCCTCTTGCCTGAGGATCAAGAAGAGAAACACTAGAAAACTTCTCCCTTCTCCCTAACCATCTTAATCTATCGTCTCCCATTTAGTCCGTCAACATGTTTAGTTGTAAACTCTCAAATATATACAAGATATTGAATTATATCTGATATCATCACATTGTTTACTTGAACATATCATACATTTTTTATAAATTATGCGTTTAATGTCTAAACTATCAGTTTTATTTTATTTTAGTACTTTAACTTTTATTTATTTTAAAATCATACCTTACATTTACTTTTTGTTTCATTTTTATACTTCGCAACTTAATGAATTGTTACAACTTGACACTTTTTATGATAAATTACATCATTCGTCACTCAACTATCTTCTCATTCCCATTTTGGTCATTGAAATTTAATTTTTTAAAATTTAATTACTTAACCTTCAAATTAATCCTAACCTTCAAATTAATCCTAATTTAATCACTCTACCTTTCAAAATTTTTTTTTTAATTATATATTAATAAAATAATAAAAATTTCATGTCAGAAAAATTATTAATGAAATAAATTAGAGTGATGAAAACATGAACAATTAGAAAGTTGAGTTTTAAAATTAATTTTTTTAACTTTAGTGACTAAAATAGGAGTGAGAAGATATTTAAGTGATGAATGATATAATTTATCCATAAAAGTGCAATGTGAAACACTTCCGTTAAATTTTTAACGGTGGTGTTCTGAAATTTACTATTTATCCTACATTTTTTATACATTATGAAAAATGGTTATATATATATCACAACAAACCTATAGCAAAAACACTAAGGGTAGTTTAGTTTTCCTAAAAACTCGGTCAGTGGGTTTCATGAGTTAAGAGATTCATTCGCCATTCAGGCTTTTTCTCTGTATATGTGGCTTTTGCCTGATTTTGTTTCCTTCTTTCATTTCATAAACATTTTCTTAACAATGTGCTCAAGTGGTCCTCCCCACCTCCATCCTTGCTACTGCTTAAAAGAACAATATATATAAAAGTTCCACTAGAACAACCACTTGTATTCCACTTAAGTTTCATGATATCATTCATTATGATCCTTTAAAATAAAAATTCAACTCATCATTATCATTAGCATCATCATCAGTATATATATTACTCTTAACTCGTAACAGCTAAAACAATTGTCTGAGTGAAAGATTTGACCCATTTTCAATATGGAAAATTTGATGCCTCTTGAATGACATCATTGCTCATGCAACAGGAAGTGATATGCTATGTGTGTTTTCCGTTTACATTGATTAAGCCGTAGCATTAACACCTTTGTTCTCCTTGACCTTTTCATCTCTCTCCAACTTCTTTCCGTCACAATCAAAGGTTCTTCAATTATGGTGGACAGACCTGGAAAAAGGGTTACCAGAAAAAAGTCATAAAACATAGTGATTCACTTTAGAAGCATGCTATGTTGCAGGAAATGTATATATATATATGTACGTACTATATGTGTGTGTATATATATATATATAACTATTTGAATTGTCAAAAGATTGAGTTGCAGTGATGACTTTGTACTGTTTTATGATATACTATCAAGTAAATGCTCACCAGATGCTATACTTTTCTTCTCCATCATCATCCTCATCATTTCATCACATCCTTGCAGATAATCCTCATTGCTACTTATCTCATAATCTTCGTCTGATTCTTGCAGGACTTTTGTTTGATAATTGATCGTGGCCTTCGACTGCGCATTGGCAAACAGCCATGTGGCATCCATCTGTTTGCTGATCATACGAGTTGCATAGTATGGAATCTTCACACGCTTGTTAGTCTCCGAGTTGATGGAGCCATTGATAAACATTATGCAGTCCATTAAGCTCTCTTTAGCCAACCCTTTCATGTCATAAGCCTGTGATCTTCTCCACAGGCTTTTACCATGAGAATTAGTGGGATTGGAGAGGCAGAGAGCTCTAGTTGAGTCTCTAATGGCAGCATCAGGATCTTTAAGCAGCAAATAGCACTGAGCTCTCTTACTATATAGGACCATTCTCTCTTTTCGAAGCTTCAAAGGGCATGCATCCAACGCTTCGGTATACCTCTTTATAGCAGCCTCTACATCTCTTAACCAAAACATGTGATTTGCTTGATGCTTTATGAGGTTTACTAGTACCCTTCTATCTTCAACCTTTTCCTCAGACATTATTTTCTCTCTCTTCTTCCTTTTTATCTTCAACTCCCACGTTTCTTGCAGAGCCTTTATAACTTGGCTGTTCTTGATTCTAAATTTGCTTTGTTTATAACCTAAGAGAAGGGTTTTTGTGATAGTGTCACCTAAGCTTGATCTATCTCCAAGACTTTTGAGTTCAACCAAATCAATGAGGAACATTGTGGCAATTTCAATAACCTTGTACCTCGTATCTGGGTCTTTGAGAAGCAATAGAAGGCAATCAATGCCCATGTACTGCCAATCATCTGATGACCTCGAGAGATGGCATAGATTCTTTAAGACCTCCTTAGAATCAGAGATGCTTTGTCTTCCATATTTACTGTAACACAAAATTCTAATCAATCCCACACCAGCTGGCGACGAGTGGTTCACCAATCCACCCCACATTCCACACAAATCAACCAAAAACTCTTGCTTGCAAATAAGATTCAGAGATCTTTCTTTGCAGGCAAAGCAGTTGAGAAGATAGAGAGACCAGCACTGTAGCTGGCTAGCCCATTCTTCTGCCATTCGGTCCTCCATTTCTGAACCACCAACTCCTCTTGTAAGCAAATCACAGTGATATTTGGATCTCTTACTCTTGTCCTTCACGCCAACAAACTTAGCATACACTTCCTTCAAACAAGTAGAAGCTAAGTGCATTGTGAGTCTCACCACTTCCTCTTCATGAGCCGCCACTGCTTCAAAGGATCTCTCATAGCTTGCGAGGTGACCGAGAGCTCGAACAGCCACTCTTTGCTCAACCCAGCTCATGTTTCCTCTTAGAAGCTCCATTAATGGAGGTATCACACCAGCCAGCACAACTTTCTCTGCAAACTCAACCTTGTTCATAGTGTAGGAGCCAATAACATGAGCTGCATAGTAAGGAATGTAGATGTTCTGGTCCCTAAGAAGCCAGCCTCTATCATTGATTCCTTTCTCTAGGAAACTGGTCATGCAGTCGAAGATGCCGAGGGATGGGAACTCGGGATCATCTGGCTGCGCCATTGCAATATTCCAGAGACTACTTAGGACCAAAACATGTTGTTGGTCATCTCCGATGAGTGGCATTTCCTTGAAGCAAGCTGCGATTCCAGCTCTTCTGAGAGATGGGTCAACTTCTTTCATCATACAAAAGAAACAACATGGATCGAGGCATATCTGCTCCATAACCATTTTGTTTGTATAGCTGGTTTTAGGGCTGTTAAAGATAGGGGTCATCTTCCCTTTCTTCTTCAGGGAATCCATTGCTTTAGAACAAAGATTTGGTGTATAAATCTTCCTGGATTTGAGCAAGGTTAGGGTTTTCGAGTACTATAAATATTCAAGAAGATAAGTGGTGTAGTGACACCTAGCGGCGCATGAAAAGGATTTTATAATCTAACTTTGAGAACCCATTTTTCCATTTTTGAACCGAAACAAATGTGTGCCTCTTTTTTCTCTCGAAAAGAGGATAAAAGATCACAGGTTTACTAGGAGGTGATTCCAGTGAATGAACTACAAAACCTGACACATATTATACTTGTCGTGTTTATTTAACTAGGTGGGTAGCAATGCTTAATTAACTCGGTCAAGGGGCTCCAACTCGGCTGACTCGGCCTAACTCGGTGAGTCAACTTGATTTTCTGGCAGCACTCTTCCGGCGGTGCGTCAGAACTTATATTGAGAAAATTCTGGCGGCGTCGGATTCCTCTCGTCGAGACCTTCGATCTTTCCAACTCGCTCTGATGCCACTTTGTTAGAAATAAAACACTCACACAAACAACTTTTATTGAAACTCAAACAAATATTACAAGAGCACTCTCACTCAAAAACAAGAAATACAACTCGCTCTTATAAGACTTTGCTTCCTCACTCACTTAGAAGCTCTTAATTTTTCTTGATGCTTAAAACTAAAATGGGGAGGGGTATTTATATTACTCAAGAACAATCTTATACCACAAAAATAAACTAATTTAAACCATTACAAATTCAACAAATACCCAACTCTCACCTAACTAAATTGATGTAAGCAATGACATCATTACTTAAATGATGTAAGCAATGACATCTTTACTTAAAAAATGTAAGCAATGACATCAATTTAATTTGGGTTTGAGTTTAGGCTCCCATAATGGATCAAGTTTATGATCCAACAGTAATGGGATAATTCAACTACTAAAATCAAGCCTCAATTTTCAGACAAATTGCAAAATTTTTATCACCCATTCTTTCATTATATTTTAAACTTGTGTTAGTTTAGAAATATGTGACGGAACTTGCAAAGCCAAGCTTTGGCACTGCCATTATCGACCACATTTCACCAGGCTAGATCAATGACAACTAAAATGCCACTGCGTTTGCACCATGGCATAGAAAATGCATTATTTGGAAGAACACAACGTGAAATGAGCCATCCATAAAATGCAAGGCCGGCTTTCTAAATGAAAATTCCATTGGAAGATAAAAACTACATTGGTATTAACCTGCGAAAATATGAAAGACCATTGCGCCGTATTTACAAATTAAAGAGACATTGACGCTATACAAAATTTTCAGACAAGTACAATTCCGAATTTACCTTCTAATTAGTTGAATGAAACTATTACATCTAGTTAGCTGTGTAATACTTTCACAAAATTCCCTCTTCTTTGGATATCTATCTTCCAAAGGCATTCTTACTTCCTAGATCATGAGCTTTTATCTAGTGTCGGATATGGTGAATTGGTCACATTAGTTTTACCCTTTGACCCTGAGAGAATTCACAGGCTTCACTGATTGAAGCCAGTCTAATTTCAGCTGGGGATATGAAACAGTCCATTTACAGGCCTGGAACATTGAATGACACTTCTTCAATTACCCATGCTTCCTCCATTCTGGTCCTGGTGTGACTCATTGCAGTATCCCCAAAGCGGAAAAGGGTCACTACAGACCTACCTGAGTGAGCGATCGTTATACCCTCAACAGGTCTGTAATCCTCAAGGAACGAATTGATTGTGGTCTCCCAGTACATAGCATCACCCCCGTTATTTTGAATTTTGGTCAACTGTGAATCTTCCAAGTGCACAAGAAGCCCTGTCTTCTGGCCGAAGTAGCCAAATAAAACATGTCTTATAATCTCCACTAGAAGTGCACAAAAAATCCGAATATCTATTTTACACAAAAAATATTCGAAACCGGATTTGGGAAAATTTGGTTTTTTTTTAAACTGGATCGGATATTTAAAAACCGGATAACATAACCGATTTAGGAAAAAATTGGACGATCGGATTTTTTATCGGATTAAAATCCGGTTTGAAAATAACCGGATAAAAAACCGATTTTTTATCCAAAAAAAAATCCGGTCTGTGTTTTAAAAATTAGCCGTTAATATAGTCGTTGGGAGTTTTTGTGACCTTTTTATGACCATTTTTTTCTAAAAACACCACCACCGGATTTTTTTAAAAGCCATTTTTTTCAAACCGAAACCGGTTACACCATCCGACCCTCCAAACCGGTTAGGATCCGAACCGATTTTTTGGCTAGGTGAAAAAACCGGATCAATTTTTGTCCGATCCGGATCGGTTTATTAACCGACTTTGTGCATGTCTAATCTCCACCAGTACTTCACTCCTGGCCTTCAACGTTGCAAGATCTGCAGAAAGGTTGAGGGTAAAGCAGTCTTCCCCATTTACCTTCTTTTCACCAACGCATCTTGCATGACTAAACATGCTTGCTGTTGTTCTTGGATCAAGACCCTGCAACAAGAATAGATATTCAAATTTCAGGCTAAATGATTTCTATTGAAGAGGAAAGAACAGTGAAATGGAAAGAACGGACGAAATTACCTGAAGTGCACGGCGAAGGGGTCTAACGGGCCCTTTAGCTGCATGTGCACCAAGCCAAGGAGTATGGCTCCACACATGCTTCCCGTTACACCCTGCATGAACCTTACTACCACCAAGTGCAAGTTCCACATACCACATGTCTGGATTCATTTGCCACAACACAAACCCGCCTGACTCTGCATCCTTGGAAGAATTCCGATTCTTTGTGACCTTGTTAGCCGTCTCAAACTCAGAAGCTGCTCACCCTTCCCATAGCATATGCATTGTGGATCGAATTTTGAAGCTTTTGCCCACCAGATGCAGCAGTATACTGCTGTATTATGTATTGAGCAGATGAAGATTCCTGCAAAATTTTAAACAGGAACATGTCACAAAGAGTTTCTTCCGAGGAAATCCGGTCTTCAAAAGAGTGCTAAACAGATTCCACCCTAAACCGAGCACCTCAAACATGCTTAAAAACCCAGCTTAAGACTTGGATTGGAATTTATCAAGTAGAAAACAGAAAAAATTATTGTAATCCCATCACATTCAACCATTTTTTTTTCTCTTCTTTGATCAGCAAATTAACGGAATACATAGCAAATTAAAACACAATGCAAAAGATGACCCCTTATCTTATTGGTAGATAAAGCTATCCTATTTAACTAACTGTTAACATGCAGAGCTTACTCTTCACTAAATCATGAATCTGCTGTTGTTATACTCTTTCTCGTTTTCTGGGATGAAAAGAGAAATCAAACCAGCATTAAAATTTTAATAGAAGAGTTTAGAACCCAAATTGTATCTGTTTCAGTGAGAGCTTATTTAACTAAATAGATTTTCACCTGAAAATTAAAGCCTTTTATATCAACCAATCAAATGCAGCATTAGGGAACACACATAGAGAGAGAAAGGTGGAGAGAGAAGAAAGGACTGACAATCGGTGTATCTTTAATGCTGAGGGGAGGGAAAGGGTCCAAAGCGCTAACGTGCACCGGCGCCAGAGGAGCACCCAAGACACCGAGCAACAGCCTCAGATCGGAGCGCTTACACGTTGAAGTCGAAACGGAAGGTGCGCGTGCTAGCTGGCCTTTCATCCACTGGGCCTACCTACCTTCCATCCTTGAATCTCCAACGTCGTTTCCATCTGGATCGGGACCTTCTTTCAACGGTGATAAAGCCTCCGTCGGCCTCAAGCTCCCGGACCTGAAAATCAAAGGGTCCGGTTGCGACACGTGGTGGCTATTGTGGTTCCTCCTACCCCTCAGTAAGCTCGACATTGGTGAAGCACCTCTCGCCGGACTTTTGGCTCGCGACCGGCTCGGAGACAACCCCCTGACAATCGAAAAGAACCCATGCTTTCTCTCCATATTTACAACCCAAAAACGAGAGGCTATCGTTAAGTTCCCATTCTCTTTCAGGTCTTAAAGCACGAAATGAGCACACTCAATAGAGTAAGAAAGAAGGAAGAACAACATGAAAACAAAAGCAGCTTAAAAATACGGAATAAAAAACAAAGAGAGAAAGGGCGTAAATAAGAAGGAAATGTAATTCCAGGGTTCCGTTTATTCGGCAAAATGGCTGAGATATTGTGGAAGGAAAAAAATTCTCAATATAAATCACATCAGGTTTTATTTTTTCATCTAGGATGAAATTTAAGGTAAAATCTACAGTAATAAGATAAAGATTTCATGATTGTTTGATGTCATCATGTCAATGAAAAAGACTCTAAAAGTGAACGGCGTCTTTAGGATAGGGAAAGACGCGTGGAGTGAACAGCGTCTTCAGTCTATGCAGAAACCCTCGGGAATACGTAGCATCTTCAGCCATACTTCGACTACAGCACTGACTCTGAAGCAAAGCTGCATGGCGTAGGGAAGCAGGGATAATGAGTAATAATGATGTCATTATTAAACCAATAATAGAGCACAAGTTTATGTTATAAAATGGGGGGAGTTGGATTTTGGAATGCAAGAAGAGGGGAAGAAAGTGAGGCCGAGAGAAAGAGAACATTTGTGGGAGAAAATAAAAAAAATAAAAAGGGATATAAAGTTTGAACGAAAGAAGAAAGAATTTCTAATTGAGTGATCTGGTAAGCGATTTGATAAATTTAGTGTAAATTTTATTGTTTTATTTTTAATTTTTATTTGAAATATAAATTAATTAAATTATTTATTTTGATTTTACAGATTAAACTGTATTCGCGTGATTTGGTAAGTTTAATTTAAATTTTCATGTAATTTTTAGTGTAATTTTTGTTTTTAATTTAAATTATAATTATTAGACTATTTATTTTTATTTACATATTAAGTTGTATTTAAGTAGTTTGGTGTGTTTAGATTA